TGAGCTTAGCCTTTTGTAACTGTCTGATTATATTTTATGAGCTTTTGCACAATTGTTTTTCAGTAATAGAAAATCTCCATTTATTATTCTTAAATTTCTTCTATCTTTAAGAGCAAGACCTGTCTTCATGGTAACTATTCTGCTGTTTGCATAGTAGCTGTATGCCAGACTGGTAAGATTAGAATTTAAGACTAGTAAAGCTCATTTACAAGCTAATTTACAAAGCTTCTTCTCTACACTAAAATTCCAGGTCATGCATGCTCTCTGCAGGAAACAAAAGGAGGGCTTGGAGGATTGAGGTCTGTACAGCTGTCTGTAAACAGTCGGTGCTTATGTAGCATAAAGGAATCATACTGAAGCAGTCTGTTAAGGGCTGGTTGTTATGGTTGAAATTCAGTAATGCAGTGCGGTTAAACTTGATGGGCTCAGAAATAGTGAAACATCCTCCCTGTAAACTAGCAGTATCTTAAAAGGAAGATGTGTTAGAGGTGGGGAAGGCCTTTCTGTTTGTCATGTGGTTGGGGTTTTTTTTAGCGTATGTAACTCATGCTTTGGGGTTGTTTGGGGCTTTTACAATTTTGTTTTGTTGTTTGTGGTGGTTTTTTTTTTTCCTCAACGAATTTGATTAGTTTGGGGTGAGGTAAGAAAGAGGGAGTGCTCTTTGAAGAGGTGGAACTTCAGTAAATTGAGTAACAACAGAAAGAACTGAGAATTTAAGAAAGTGAAGTTGGTACTTGCTTTGACACAGGGAAAAATTAGATCCCCATTTACGGTGATTTGAATCCTGGTTTCTTATAAAACGTGTGGTAAGGCATTTGTGAGAACTTTGTGAGAGTTGTCAACACTGAAAAAAACTACAACAATTTTAGTTTGAAAAGATCTTGTATACATAAAATTTTTCTACACCCCCCTCCCCAATTTCTTAATCAAGCAGACTGGGAAACACAAATTGTTTCATTTTGGAGAGGGAAGAAGGAAACTAGATTTTGAAATTTCAGAGTTTCTGTGTTTGGCAGAACTGTTTTATCACGTTAATTAAGTATTAACAGAGGAGCATATCTAGGATATTCATAATGTTCAGCTCTTCTGGGATGTGGCTTTAATAAAAGCATAAGCTTCCGTATTTGTATTTTAAAATATGTAACAACATAGATTATTTTACGATATATAAGGCATATCTTCAGTAGCTATTCATTCTTGGTAGAATGGACAAGTCCAGGAAAAGATGGTAGTAGATTTGCAAATTGTATTTTGAGTACTATATATGTTTCTGTATAGGGATTTTTACTTAATCTTACTAAATACTCTTAAGATATCTTATATTCAGTAAAGCAAGTGGTTTATGCTAGGCTTAAGCTTTGACTCAGACCAACAAATACAAGGAAATTAGATCTAGCCACAGCACTTCAGAAGTCCCATTAGACAAGCGAAGGCAATGTTGCTTCTGCCAGTGTGGAAGTGGCACATGTTCATCATCTTCTTGCTGTCCTCTGCTTTGTACACGTGCTATTTGTTTCCCCTGCATCAGCTCTAGTATTCGTCTGACCTCTATTCAGTTTGAAAAATCAGTGGAAATCCTCTTCATTTGCTAAATGAGCTCTCTGAATAGTGGGAGACTAGATGGTCAGAAGGAGAGAAGGTCAAGCTGTCTCTGAGCTACTCCTTGAAGTCTGGATCATAAACGCACATTTGTGTAGACTGTTTAAATTGATTTGACTTATTCATAGCTTTGATTAATCTAATTCAGGACCTTGTGAAGGCCATGTCTTTTCCTTGACATGTCTTTTCCTCAATTTCAACAGCTTTTGATGATCTCATCGGAGTACAAAGCAAAGCATGTTTGTGCACATGTAGGAAAGATCAGTTCTAGATTTCCAGATTTCCTTTTCACTTCGTATCAGAAGTTAGACTAGTTTTGTGAAATCGTCTTTTCAATGTTGGTCATCTCAATTACAGTACAAACCTCGTTTATTCAAACTATGATGACAGTGATGATGACAGATCCAGTGGTTTACTGAACTGTTTGAAAGACAACAGAAGAATGCTGGTAGCAGATAGACGACTAGGCTTTTGCGGTGAGCAGTGTTTAGCTGAAAGTATTTTAATTGTTCCCACTGTTTAGTTTGGACAGGGTAAATTGGAAGTATTGTGGTCCTATGTACTATTAGACTTGCACGTAGTTCAGGACCCTGCAGTGTTCTTCCCCAGAAGAAAGAGTTCTCTTATTTTAGAAGCCACTATGAAGTTTATCTTAAAATACCAATCAGTGACGCATAGAAATGGGAATTCAGCCTGTTAGAATACATAGCCACTGATATTTTTTCAGTTCATAGTCACTACAATATTTTCTGGGTTCAGAATGGTCAGAATAGGGAAGATATGCTGGTCAGTATGTGGGTGTACATAATTTAAAGCAGTGAGCCCTAAATAAATGCTTCTGTTACTGGAAGAATAAAATACTTTTTAAATTATTTAAAACCATGGATTTCTAGCTTTCGCAATCAGAGATTAAATTTTTATTCCAGTAAACCTTGTTTTTCTAGCTGTGTTAGGGTATCTACACAGTTATTTTGACAAATTAGTACAGATGTGCTTTACAATGCATGGAGTCATGGGACACATAAAATTGCATGGTGCATTGTTCACCAGGCATTCAATTTTTGACTGTAAGCTTGAATATTTGGCTATGCTACTATAGCTTTTAAAAATCTTTTATCGGTTATATTCCACGGTGTGTGTATTTCTCTCTTCAATACTTTTAAATTGCTTAATCCCGTATTATATTTAATATTAATCTCCCATGCAGAGCTTCAGCATGATTCTGAATTGAGCTCTAACATGCTCTCCAGTGTGTGTGTATATACACACACATATATATTAAAAAAACCCTACTTGTGGGGTTTTTTTAAAAGTTATCTTAAAATGTTTAAGAAGTTCTTAAAGTAAATAAGAATTTGAAAAATGGAAATCGTCACAGTTGATCTCTTTGTGTGTGTGTGTGTGATTGCCATATTCAGTGAGGTAATGTTCATTTATGGAGTGCTTAAAAATTCAGTGATATTGGAAGAAAAGGATGTTTTTTAAGAAATAAAGCTTGGATAGCTGAAAGCAGATAATAAAGCAGAATAAAGCTATGGTGTTACTTCTCTGATAAAATGCAAGAAGGAAATAAAAGAATAAAAGTTACGTGAATACTTAGGTCAGGCTCTCTAAATGACCATTTTAATGCAGCAAAAAAAAAATTCTTTAGAAGGGAGGTGTACTGTTTTATTTGTATTTTTCCCCTTTGGTGTACTGTCTTTGCTCGTATGCTGAGAATCACCTGTTGCCATATAGAAGCTATGGATTGTAGTTTGTTTTCATCTTTGGATATAATATGTAAAGTAAAGGAAAAAAGTGGGATAAAAGGGTAAGGAAAATGTAGTGGAAGAGAAAAATCAGGATTTAGACTTAAAAACCTGTGGGTAGAAGAATATTGAGCTAAGGGTTTTAAGAAGTTAAAAATGCGATTTTACTTTTTTGCAGATTTTAAATTGGAACTTAATTTGCATAATTTAGGATTTTTAGTTTAAAGATAAAAATTATTTTTAGTCTGTTACAAAGCCTAAAAGCAAATGATAGTGCAGGGAAGATTTTTGCTGACTCCTTAACTCACTCAATATTCTATGTAATAAGGAGGGCACTATAGCAGGGGTTCACATAATAATATATATAGTACTTTGAATATCCTAAACACTAGTCAGAGACAAACCACAGTTGTATGTGATACAGTACACCATGATATGCCTTATTAACTTTGAAATTTCTTGCTTCCCTCTGGAACATACCATTTTCTTAAGAAAAAATGTGTTTGCTAACATTTTAAGGGTATGATTATGTCACTGATATCTCACTTAATAAAATAATTACTAATTTAATGCATGTGAAATATTCCCCAGAGGTCAGTGAGAATACTTATTTCTTAAAATCTTTCTGATTCACCATGAGTTAATGACTTCAGTGTCTACTGACAATAATTGTACCAAAAACTTGGGTTTTCCTAGTTTATTAAATATTTTTAGCCTATACAGAGGAAGATAAGTGTTTTAAATTATTTCCTAATTATACAATATTTTTATTATTATTTGATTGACTTGATTTTGTCAGTGTTTAGCACAATGAAAATTTGTAAATTTAGGCAGCTTTGTGATGTTGACATAATTTCATGATGAGTTTTGCAACTATGTATTAGCGTGAAGTTAAGGCTACAGTGGGCCTTTTAAGTTGACTTTCTGTATTGGAATGTAGAAAGTTCTGAAAACTACAGTTTTTAATGCTAAATTGACTCTTAAATGGGATAATTAATTTACCAAGCTGACTGTTTACTTTTGGTATATGTAACTTCTGTGCTTGCAATCCATGCTGCATACAGTATATCAGCATGATTTTTCTAAAGGGCTTCAAAGGTATTTCCAGTAATTATTAGTTAGAGCCATGAGTCGGAACTTCTGATCCTGAATTGTTGCCCTCAGTATCCCTGAATTCTCTTACTGTTGTGTGAGTTGCTAGGACTTGGTATACTGTTTCTCTTTAGGTCAGGCAAAAATAAATATGTATTTTTCTGGACTTGACCTCAGTATGTGTACCGGTAACCTGCACAGAATAATTTCTGTGATGCTTCCACCTGCGGAGTAGCAAAAGCTACTTGTGTAGCAAAAGCTGATTTGGGAAAAATGGACCTAGTCACAAGAGGGCTTTATGTGTTTTAGTTTAGCTAGGGATTGTTGTTGAGAAATGTGAAGAAATGTAATATCTGAATCCATAATTCTACGTACCTGCTTTTACTGTATCACCTGTTGTCAGTCTAACTCAGTTTTTTATGTTTTACACCACTTTGACTGTTGTTTCCAGTATATCTCCGTGTTTGTATTTTTTGTTTCCCTTGGCAGTTCAGCTCTTGGGGGATGAAAGATTTAATTGTACTATATATATTCAAAACCTTTGTTTTTTTTTTATTCCAGTTATCTAGAAAAGTATGAAAAAGTCCATCATTTTGGGGAGGAGGATGATGAGGTACAACCAGGCAATCCAAAGCCACAACTTCCTATTGGTGCAATTCCAACTTCCTATAACTACCAGCAACACAGTGTGTCAGGTAAATTTTTGAGGAAAAAAGTGCTATTTTTTTCGTACATATCTGTGTATGTTTGGATGGGCTACAGAAATAGTGTGTAAATAAATTTACAATATTATTAAAATCATCAAATCTCTAGGTCACTCAGATTATTGATTTACTGCACTCGAAAACATTTTCACTGTGAACCAAAACTATTCCTTTTCTTTATAAATTTTTCATTTTCTAATTAGCAGGGGTAGTTAATTGTCTTGAAACAATGTACCGTGAAAATTCTCAGATTGTGTTTGTCACATCAATCATTTCTCTGCAGAGCCAAATACCTGAACTGAGCATGTGATTAATTAATTTGTAAAATCCGAGGGATAAACCGCGTGCATAAGGAGCCAGAATCAACACCATTGTAATTTAGAGACCAAAGTATCAATCTTGAACCAATAAACAAATCGGAAGCTGGTGCACTCTGTGGAAGGGATGTGTAATTCGTTGTGTAGAAAGTGACTCCAAATTGTGTTACAGTTCTATTCTGCTTTAATTAAAGTTTGCATCTTCGGAGCTTTTCTTTGGCAGAACATACTGCAGTATTGCATTCTGGAGATGATGAAGGAATTAATATCTAACTAGAAAGGTACACAGCTAAGTAGAATGTGTTCAGTGTTTTGGGCAAAGAGAAACGGAAAAAATAAATGCTGTAAAAACATGTTAAAACCCGTAATACCTTATTAATAAACTTTTTTAAAAATAGATAGAATTCATAATAATATTGCTTAATGTATCATCTGAATGTTAATTAGTTTAGCTGTGAAAACATTGTTTTAATTTCTTTTTGCTTACTTAGATTACCTTCGTCAAAGCTATGGGCTGTCTATGGACTTTAACTCACCAAATGACTATAATAAATTGGTGCTTTCACTGTTATCTGGACTCCCAAATGAAGTGGACTTTGCAATTAATGTATGTACTCTTCTTTCAAATGAAAGCAAGCATGTTATGCAGCTTGAAAAGGACCCTAAAATCATCACTTTACTGCTTGCAAATGCTGGAGTGTTTGATGACAGTAAGTATATAACAACCTCTTTGAAACAGAAAGAGTCAATACCTGTTGTAGCATCTTTCACAACCCTTGATAATTGTTTATAATTTATTGCACTGTAATATATCTAGTTTTTACCGTGTACACAGTTACGGTTTTTATCACGCATTACAAATACATTTTAAGTTAGGGAAGTTAAAGCAGTGTTATTGAACAGTTGAGTGAAATGTAAGAAGCAGTTTTTCAGCGATAGAGTTTAATTGTTCAAGATGCTCGAATTTACAGTATTGGATTTCCAACTGCTTGTAGTAAATTACTGCCACCTTCTGAATTCATAGGACCGTACTGACTTTTCATAATTTTAGTAGCAGTTACAAATTTAAAAAAGGGCAGTCTGAAAACAATGACCCACTAAGATTTTTATCCTGATATTTCACTACGCATTCAACTGTAGTGAAATTCAGAATACAAAACTTAAGAGATAAAAATCTTAATCTGTTTCAGAATTACTTAAGGTGTTAGCACGTAATTTTAAGAGAGTCCATTCTATCAAAATACTTCAGTATGTGAAATAAATTCTTCTGATTTATTCAGTGTGACGTCTGTGCCAAGTTGTTCCTTGTTAATTGCTTGTTTGTCTTTGTCATGGAGAGGGGAAAAAAAATAAGTTAACCCCAACTACCCTAAAATCATAACAGCATAGCTCCAGTCGTGTGGTGGTGAGGAGGAAGAATTTACTGGTTTTATGTACTGATTTTGTTTTATACTGTATTTCAGAAATTACCACCATAAGAAATTGCTCAGATGAGCTTTTCCAGCTAAGTATATTTAAGTCTGCTAGTACAGGCGATCATATCTGTTTGAGTATAAATCTACTTTGCATGTGTAACCGCAAACATGGTATGGTATATCAGAGGTTCTGTTTTAAAATTCTAGGGAAAAATCATTGTTACACGTTGTGTACTGTTTGGTGGGGTTTTTTTAAGCGTTAGCATTTTTACATAATGATTTCTAGCTTCCCCCTCCTTGCCCCAATGCTGCATTAGTGTTCTTCAGCTTCTCTCTTACGTTTTTGGTTTGTACCCATGCCCTGCAGATATGGTTAGGTCTTGGTCATTTAGTGTCTGCATCTAGCCCAGTCACAAGAACTTTCAAAGAAAAGTATTTGAAAGGAAGCTGAAGTAAAACTTAGTCCTGAACGTTAGTGATTGCAGGATGCTTGCTCTCTTGATTTTTGAGTTTGCTGTCATTCCCCTGTTCTTTTCACGGAAGTTGTATGGACATCAGTATTTGTAAATAATTTAATCAAGTTTTGTGTTGCTGATTCTTTTTTTTTTTTTTTTTTTTTTGATGTTGCAAAGGTAGATAGTATTTTCTCAAGTTCTTAACTTGGACTCCGAGCACAGGCTTGTTCCATAGCTGGTCTGTATCAGTATTTCTTACACTGAAAAATATTTGAAGTAAAGCCAAGAGGAATGACAAGTGCGTAATGGCCTTCCTCTTTTCATTCCCGGGGGAAAACCTCATTTTTATCCTACCTGATTACATCTTCTGGATAAATCCCAGGGAGCGTCCTGGCAGCATGAGGAGCATGAATTGGGACAAATTGGGGAAAAGGGGTGTGTGTGTTTACTTATTTTTGAAGCACGAGGCTTCGATTTGAAGTACTTCTGTGTTTTATGTTGTAAACAATGAAGGTAAATCTGTCAAGTTTGGTGATTAAATGAAATCTGTAATTAACAAATTCAGGTAGTATGAAAATACTGTCACAATAATTTCAGGTGTAAATAAATGATAGCTTATTAACTTTATTTAATGTGGGGTTTAGATGTGGCTTGTCTATAATTAAAGTTTTATCATTGCTAGTATTCATAATGCACTGTTTCTAGGTAACAAGAAAAATATGTCTTCAGCTTTTTTTTCCACCCGTAGAATTTGAGATGAGAATTATATTGCATGTGACAGGGCAGCCTGAGAGGTTTGAGGGTATACGGTATCTTCACTTTGGAGTGCTGCGTAAGCCTTGGTTTGGATTCTGTGAGTTGAAAGCTGATGTGATACTGGAACTGAGATCTGTAGCATTTTGTTCAAAACAATAAAACACTATGAACCAAAATGTTTAATAGTAACCTAAATGTGTCATTAGTTCATTACATTAGAACTGTTGCAGTACAGAATTTATCTTTGGGTTGACTAAGTCTTTGAGTCAGACAGACTGCATCTTTGCTGCTTTCAAGGAGTGATGATTAGAAGGATTGTGGTAGTGGCTCCACCAGACACCTGAGAAGAACATCCATTACACTTCCTGGTTAAACATTGACTTTGAGTTGAGAGCTGTCAAAATATTCACTGCTACTATTATGTTTTATCGAAAACATTAGTGGGAATTTGTTGTATTACTGATGTAGTGTTTACAGCTTATACTGTGCACGTGGAAAACAGTTGTTGATGTAAGGCTGAAAATTGAGCAGTCATCTTGACTCCTGGAAAAGAGCTATGGACAAGTTTCCCATGTGTTTTTCGAAGGATTCACAAACTAGTCCACTCTTTATGGACTAGTTATTCTCAATTTAAACTGTAAAACTGCATTAGCAGTTAATTAAATGACTACACAAATTTCAGTTGGTTTATGCCATTTAGTACAGGATTTTTTTTTAATGAAGAGGAAATACTGGTAGAGTCTGTAGTATTGTTGAATCTTTAGTTTATGGATTAGTAAAAAAATAAAAAATGTTAATTTTTTTATTTTACTAAATTCTCCTTTTTATGCTTAAAGCTTTAGGATCGTTTTCTGCTGTATTTGGAGAAGAATGGAAAGAGAAAACTGATAGAGATTTTGTTAAGGTAATTTTAAAATTATTAAAATAATTATGAACTGCATATGATGGCTATCAAATCCTTTTACAATACAGAAAATCAGAAGATATACTAGCATATGTCTTTTGAATTGCTTTCAGCTTTATTCCTTTGAATCAAATATAATATGACACTAAATCACAGTTGTCGTAAAATGTTCATATAAGCAGGAAGAAATGTATTAAGAAAAAATACGTGTAGGCAAAGCAAATGCATAAAGAGGTTCCATGTGTCTTTCTGTAAGAAAGCTAGTATGTGTGAGGAAAAGGAAAACTGGCCAATATATTTAGCAAGAGAAAACAGTGCTAAAAAAAAACGAACAAAAAAACCCAAACAACTGGCATGGTCAGTAAAGAAACATTCTGGATTTTGAAAATCAAGTCCATGACATAAGAAGCATAGAACAAATTTAAATGTTATAGCAGTGTTGCAGGTTTGTTTCAGTTAAACTGTTTTTGCACAAGGCTTTTTATCTTTCCACTAGAGGGCATGATCTACTGTACAAGTAATGAAAGGAGGTAAAAACATAACTAAAATTTCTTTGTATAAATGCTTCCTCTTTATTCTAGGTGAGCATTTTGAGGTGAATGACAACATGAAATATATTATAGCTGAAAGAGGTTTGACATTCCAGTGTGTTTACTACAATGTGCAATTTCCTTAAATTGAATTTCAGGTGATGATTTATGTGGCTAAAATAGAAGATAGCTAGATTGAAATATAGTTTGACAACTTATGCTTTTATTAAGTAAAAATATGAAGAGATAAGCTGCTGAGTTCCTTACGAACTTATAGCCAGGTTTCTGCTCACGTCTCATGTACTGAAATGTCTTAGGTGTATTAAAGAGAAATATTTGTTAGGAGCTTTTTCTATTTGTCTCTTATTTTTATGTAACTCAATTTTGGGACAAGATGGACTATAGTAGTATTAGTTAATGATAAGTATTGCTGAAATATCAGAATACCAAAATTTCCTAGGTAAAGTTAAGTACAAAAAAGGTAAGCTCTCATACTTGTTAGTATATGAACTTGGAAACATGGTTCAAATATGCTGAAGGTAAGTGTTAAAAATAATGCTTCTTAATCTTTGTTTCCTTTTTCCATTGAAAAAATATGTCCAGAAGTACTGTAGGTTGTGTTTTGGTTTGGTTTTTCTAAAAGCACTTAGCACTTCTGTGTTGACTTCACCCTAAGCTGTTACAGACTGTTGCTGATCTAGAGCAGCAACAAGCGCCATGTCCAGATCTGTAAACATTTAAAATTACACAGACTTCTAATTTATTATATGTTCATTAATTATATAAACTTAAGTAATTGTGATAGATAAGGACAGATGGTTCTTATAAATGTTTTCAACAAAGTGTTGAGTAGAACCACTGTAACTACAATAAGGTTTACTAATAAGAAACTTGGATGTTCTCCAAGATCTATTTTTGATCATTACAACATGTATAGTACTACTCTGTAGTGAAATACTGCTGAAAGCATGTCAGAAGCTAACACCAGATCTAAAAATACCTCCAGTGCCAAGAATACAGATTTTTCAGAACATCTTACTGCAAGCATTTGTTTGACCCTACTACTGGAAGTAATTTATTTTGTGTTGCAGCTGTGGCTGTGTCAAAACAGAAATCAGGGGAAGCATTATAGGAGCGTCTTGACGTAGAAGAGAGATACTTGGTTGGCAGAGTAGAGATTGTGTGTCTGTCTCTTTAAATTTGCTTTTACAGCTTTAGGATTAATAGAATGGATATTTAAAGCATCTCCCTTCTTTCACTGTCCATATTATCCTTTTAAAAGTTATTAATTTGGGGGTTTTTATTTTGCTGCCAGTTGTTTGTGTCTTTATTTTGTAAGGTTATTGTTCCAGTTTGTTTCCCCACTATCATGGCAGCAAATCAGAACATTGTGTAAAGATGAAATGGAAAAGAGTTTTCAAATGGGGGAAGAAAAATGCAGAATTATGAATTATAGAGTGGCATGACCACGAGTGGTAGAGATACGTAGGAAGTAGGGTGGAGAAAGCAATTTCTCAAACACATGAGTTCTAAACTAACAGGAATTGAATGGATAGAAATTCTGTTGAGTTTATAAACTTTACCTTTAGATTGTAGTGGATTTTTGATTTGTTGGAGTTTTGGGAGGGTGGGGGTGGCTGAGAAATACTAGAAATCTTCAAGCTGTTCTGAAAATGATTCTCAGGGTTAAATTCAGGATTCATAGGAAGTCATAAACTTGTATTCTTGGCAATTAAATGTCACTTATGTCAGTTTTATGCAAAACAAAACCAAACTCAGCCTTTGTTAGCTGAAAATAGCTTTTTGAATGTAGTGAAATAAATAGAAATGATCTAGGAGATGAGTTCAGAATATTAGACATTTCATCTAGATAGCTATTCTTACGAACTTTTTTCCAAGCTCCTCCTCCTGCTTATTGAAATATATGAACATAAACTTGGAATTTGGAGTTTAGAGAGGCGTTTAGTTTCTGTATTTCAATGTCTTTATACAGACATTGGGGGTAATTTTAGAATTATGTATTTATACTAAAATTCCTTGTGGAATTTTTTAATATTTGCTTAAGCTTGATTTAATTTTTAGCCTCTTAATCATATTAGTATTTTAAAATTGCTATTCAATGAAGAAGAATGGCCATATGTTTTTCTTCATTATTTTTCTCTCCATTCTACTACATCTTTGCACACTAGTAGTATTGCATCACTGTTAGTATTTCTCCTACCCTTAAATATATACTCTGTTGGTTGTTTGGCATTCAGTCAGCTCTTGAGTTCTGTATTAATTTATTATAAAGAATTTGTCAGTTGTTTCAGCACCAATACTTTGATTTTATATCCTGCTGTTGTCTAATTTTGGCTTAAAATAAATTTGCACATGTGATATTATTTTTTCAGAAGTCTACTAGTTTTCTAATGTCATATTCATGAAAAAAGGAGCTTGCCTATTTAGTTGTGTCCTCCAGCATCACTGCTGTTCCAGTTGGAGATGAAGATGAAAACCAACGTGACTCTTCCTACTGAACTTTGAGGGAATCAGTTGCCTTCTCCCTCCCCTTCCAAATTTTTCAGACATAGCTTTTATAATTTCCATTATCTTACCTGCAGTGGTACATATTTTATCACTTTCTATAGTGCTTCCCTCTAAGCTGAATCAAATGTCTTTACTAGTCAATGAATCTATTCCATTAATTGTCAGAATTTGAACATTGTTTTAGCTGAACCTGCTGTTACCCTTATAGCTAGATTAATTTATTGCTTTCTCCCTCTTGATTTTTCTGGGTGCTGTCAATTAGCTTAAATCTTTAGTTAGTTGGAATGACTGCATGTCCTTACTTAAGGATTGGAACAAATGCCATTTAGCCAGTCATCTTGTATCTCTTCTTGTTTTGTTTTGTCATCCCCATCCCCAAGCTCTGAATGACATTCATCCTGCTCAGATGTTTTCTCAACTACTCCGGAAGCTTTCCCGTTTTTAACGGTTTCATTTCTTTATGAATTTCCTCATGTTAGAAAGGTTCACTTGTGAGTATAGGTTGTCTTTTAGGAGTGACCTGTTTATACAGCATGCTTGTAATCAGACTTAGCCATTTTTTTCCAGGTATTTCTTTCATGTCTCCAGCAGCTGCCCATTATCTGATGTAGTAGGTGAATAATTGCATTAAATTTCTTCATGCACCATTAATTTCTTTTAACTGCAGTTTAAGCATTTAGGTTTCACGTTCTTGTACTTGAGGCCTGTTCTACCTGTAGAGTTCCTAAATTCAACTTGTGTAGTTTTTGTTTTCTTTATTATTTTGCATAATGCTTTACTTATCTGGTTTCCTTTTTTTCTTGTTGTTGTGAATTTCTTATTTTGTTGTCCAACTCTTTCTTCTTTGTAGCAGTTTAGTAATTATTTTCTTTACTGTTCATTTATTCTTTGCATCTTTCTCAGTGTGTAGAGTGAGATCCATATGCGTTTAAATGCCTGAAATACTTTTCGATGTCACCTTTCTTGTCACTCGCAGTGGTCTGTCAAGCTGACTTGACTCCAATTGCTTGCATATTTTTCTTGGGCAACAAGTAGTCATGATGATGGCTGCGTTACATGATTTGTGGACTCAAAGGTCCGTTGTGTTTATGGACAGTAATTTGCTTAATCTAATTTCTAGTGAATTCTGTATAATGCTGTGTATCTTTTTCTAAAGGAATTTGTCTGCTGACAGTAATAAGATGGTGCGTGTGAATCAAGTTCTTTACCTTTGTCTGTTACCTCTTAGCATCTAGGTGTCACATAGTCAAGCGCTGTTTGTTAGCTTCCAAGTTTTAGCTTTATATTCCTATTACCGGTATGTTACCATGATCTAAAATATACGTACATGTGTATAGGAATAACTATTGATAAAGAGCTTTACTTTCTCATCCTTTCTTTTTCATTTCTGTTGATACATAGTATCAGATTGTAGCTAGCCATAGTTTCTAGTAAGGAGTAAATAACTGCTAGTTATGCTAAATTGATTCTTTTCTTGCCTCTGTGATGCAAGTACATTTTTCAAAGGAATGCCCAGAAGCCTTGACTTAACTCATCTTTTTCCACTTTTGCCTTTCCTTTGGGCAAACAACGATTTTGTCATGTTTTGCCTTGTTCTCTTGTAACAGTTAAGTTGCGAACGTTGTGTGTAGCTTATTTAATTCTATTTTCCAACTCCTCATTCTCTGCCCACCCCCATTCTTTTCAGGGATCTTTCCTGCTTAGGCAGGAAACAAATGTTGAGTGGATTGAGAGCAATCAAACCAATCTGCGGAAATGCAAAAAAAAAAAAAAAGGTGATTCAGGCCATCTCTTTCCTTGTAGAGAAAAGGAGTGGAGGCTCCAGACTCATTCTGAACTTCAGACGTCTGAACACCTTTATTCAGGAGTACAAGCTGGTGATTATTGTAGGTAATCCTAGTGCTTTGGAAGGAGAACTGGGCAGGTTTTTTGATCATCTACTGGTAGAACATGTGATTCCAGTGTGAAGATTTATCTGAGATGTGGAAACATCTGTATTTCACCAGAATCGCAGAGGATAACTTTCAGAACAAGGTGCTATTCTTTTTTTTTCGTTGATTGTTTTTCCCTACTATGTTGTAAGGAGTTTAGTAATTAATGAGCTTCATCATTCCGGTTAAGGAATGGAAAGTACAATTTACTGTCCTTAAGTCTTACCAAGGACTTTTTTTCTTTCATTCTTTCTTTCTGAAGAGATCTTAAGTCTCCTTGAATCTGCTTTGGATTTCTTGGAGTCCTCTGAGTGAAAGATGCAGGATTTGTGTTTGCTATTGACTCTGCATTTTTTTTAAAATGTTCGGATGACTTAATTTTACCCCTGATAATTTGATTTAGACTTTGATTGTCATAGGTCAGGCTGATTGCACTTTTTAAAATTCCAAACATGACTGTATATGCAGTGCACAGGAGTATTGCTTCAAGCTGTTTGTCATTCCCTGAACAGAATGGTAACTTTTCTGAGGGAGGTAGTCAGTCTCCTATGTAATGGTACCTGCTGGAAGATAGCTTGTTGGAATAAAAAAGGAAAATTGCTCAACCTTCTAAATAATTAGAGACAAATGCCTCTTTTCTCGGCTAGGAACTCACCTCAGCTATCTATGGTAAAGCCTCCAGGTGTTTGGGAGCTCAGTCTTAAATACTTATCAGGCTTCCATCTGTACACTCATTGTTGCAACATGCTTGTCGACAGCTAAAGTCCTGTGAAATCCTGACCACTCTATATTTAGCAGCCCATATCTAAAATAGGTACATTAAGTGCCACATATAATAGTTTGTGTCTTCAGCTGCTTGGATTTCTGAACGCATTGCTTATTGATAAGCTGCTTAAGTTACTGGCTTGTTGAATGGAGCACGTAGGATAATGTTTCTGAGTTCTTTGGTGATATTGCTGAAGGTTTTGCCAAAGGTTTGAAATCTTAAAATCTGCGAAGTGCTCACAGGAAGCCTAGTTTCTTACTGGAGTAGGCATTTCACAGTTGCTGAAACACCCATGACAGATGCTGGTGTGGGGAGTGCAAACCTACAGTCTTTAGCAAGCCAAAGACCCTGGGACAGTTGCGCAGGTAAAGCGGTGTGCTTGGTGAGCATTACCACCCACAGCGCTGCTGTATGTAGAAACACACAGTCAAGAGAGAAAAAATACATATCTTTTTTTTAATTGTTCTTTTTGAAGTTGTATTGTCTGCATGTTTATGTCCTATCCTGTAGATTTTCTTCCTTAGAGCTTTTAAGAGCCTTTCCAGATCTGTAGGACTCAGAGGAACTGAGGCTGTGGGGGATGCACATTATTCTGGTTTGCTTCGTGTAGGTAACACAGCTTGTGCATATGCTCTAGGTAATCCTGAGGCAAAAATCCTCTAGTTTGAGTGGTTAGCATCTTCTGCTCACATCATGACTGTATAATGAAACAATTTGAAGAAGAACAGTTATGTGTAAGTTAGCTTTATTTGGTGCCTTGGTTTATCTCTCATTTTAACTTACGGAAAGGAGATACGTTCTGTTCTTTTCTGAAAAAGATGTTCTCATCTGAGCTGACAGCTAGCATTGTTTTGACAACACTGCTTTTTTAGGAAGGGGAGACTTTCTCATTTGTTCAAGCAACTAGCGTGGATCTGTTTATTCTGCAAGTTTTAGGTGAGATGTACGGTTTTCCAACACTGTATTCCTGTCCTCATCTTTAGCCATAGGACTTTGAGGCTTTATCTTTAGCACTGTCTGTAGTGTCTTCATCTGCAAAAAACTTAAATCCTCATTTTCTGTCCTTTTGAGAACATGCCCAGGATGATTTGCCTTCCAGATAGAAAAATTTGCTCCTTTATGACTTTGTATTGCCAGAGATTTTTAAAGGTTTCAATTTGGACTGTACCTGAAGTATTAAGAAGCGAAAAGTGGGTTATCGGAGAATTCAGCTAGCAAAATGTGATGATGATGCTGTGTTAACTTTTAACGTGTGACAGCAGTTTTAACGTTGTATTGTGATTGACTTTGGTCTGTTCCAGAGAGATTCAGGTTGAAGTAAGTATTTCTGTTCAATATTCACTTTTAAAAAAAACCTTAACTGATTAAACAACAGATCTTTAAAAGCTTCTGAGGTTTTTCTTTTAAGTAGCAGTGAAGTGCGAAGGCTTACTCTCTTCATCTCTTTTCCAAAAGGAACCATCCTAAAGGAAAGTTTGTACTGACTGGTGAATTTCCGGACAGTACATTTCTCTGTGATTTTTAAAATAATGACTGAAGCCTTTTGCTTAGTCTTCTCTAAAAGTAAAGGCAGCTCCAAATGAAGTACATTCTGCAAATTTTACCTGCATACCTTGGTCTTCTGTGGCTCTTGATGATAGCCGCAGTATTAGAAAAATCTGTTTGTCACAAACTGTAGGAAGTTAGACTTTTATCTGCCTGTTCTTGTCTTTGCTAAAATGAGGTAATAATCCTGTCTGTACAAGTAATCCTCTTTACTAAACAGCACTTGGATGTCATTTAGCAGCATTACAGTGGAAAATAAAATTATTTTCCTTCCAATTTAGAAAATCTATAGTATTCTATTTTTCAAGAAAGTAATAGTGTCAAGCATGGTATGAATGCTGTAATTTAGTAATAACATTTGCATAGCAAAATTTCTCCTGCTGTTCAGCTTGTTGTACTTCCCGTCCTTCCCTTTTTATCCAGATTTATTTGTGGTTTTGTTCTGTGATCACAGCCAAAACAGGAGCTGTATTTCATTAGTGAGTCAAAGGAATGTATAATTTTTTATTAGTCAAAGGAATGTTCATATTTTTGTTAGTGTTCACATTAGAATGTATATATAATTATATATTTTTATATTAATATACATCACAATGAGTATTTTTGTTAGCTTGCAAAACTTAATCCCTTGATTAATTCTTGAATTTCAACAGGACTAGCAACATAACAACCATTTACAGATCAGACCATATATTTGTAAAGTAATTTGAATTCCAGTCTGCTGAAGCATTCTGTTTTACTTATATTTATAAAGGTTTATGGTGATGGTGGTTGTTTCTTCTCTCTTTTTATTGATTTATGATGATGTGGAAAACATAGCAGAAGCTTTAAAAAGTCTCTCAAGATAGAAATCTGACTTGTGCTTCTAGCAGGAGCCAAGATCTACTGAAACTGAGAAGAGTCACCATCTTCTGCTTTAGGAGTTCACTGTAGGAGGTGAAGAAGGATGAACTGTACTTTTTTTGCACGTAAAATTGCTGTGTTTCTAATAGTTTGTGGAAAACTCTCCATAGAGTTTCAGTGTGTGCTTCAGCAGTGTACTTCTGTGGTAGCGTTGGTTGATCATGAATGCATATTTCTGGTGCTGGAGAGGAAGAGTTTCTTAATGTAAAGCATTGAACATCTTGGATATCATCCCATGAGTGAAAAATATTGTTACTGTTAATGAATCAAGGTACTAGGAAATTTTTAAAAAACAAACCTTTACATTTTTTTTTCAATATTTTAAAGTAGTAGAAATAAAAATAACTAATATTTAAAGAAATATCCCCTAGAAATTAAGCATATTTTTAATTCTTTCTTCAGTTTTGGAAGGATATTGTTGAGGATATTGAAGTTCGTGATCTAATTTCGGACAGAAGCAAATCTCAAGGTGAGACATCTTGATTAATCTTAATACCTACATGTTGGTAAATATAGCAAAGGAAGGACTAAAATTTATTTATTTACTTTGTAGATATTCCATCAGAAGAATGGATTTGGGAATCCTTATTTCATCCACCTCGCAAATTGGGCATTAATGATATTGAAGGGCAGCGGGTACTTCAGATCGCAGTGATTTTACGTAATCTTTCTTTTGAAGAGGGAAATGTTAAGCTTTTGGCAGCTAATCGTACTTGTCTTCGATTCCTGCTACTCTCTGCTCATAGTCATTTTATTTCTCTACGGCAGTTGGGGCTTGACACGCTGGGAAATATTGCGGCAGAGGTAATGTGCTTCAAAACAGAACAATTAAAGTATAATTTGATAAAAGCATTACGTTAGTGTTAATTAAATTAATTACTTTTTTCCTTGATAGTTGGATGAAGCAGAAAATAGATTATTCTCTGGGTTTGTAAATGGCAAATTAAAAACAAGTATTCAGGGCCAAATAAAAATACAGACTGCATGTGTCCATTTGCTTAGAATGACATGGAGAAGACTGATTGTATAGGGAGATAATGCATAATTTTCAGTTTATTTTCCCAGAGAGAAGAAAGGAGTTTTGTTAAATTCTAGAGACTGTGCACTAGCTCCTTCACTTTATAATTATCACCTTTAGTCATAATTTCAAAATAGTACATTTGAAAAAGGGGGTGGTAGAGGGTTTTATGCTGTGTGTGGCGGGCACCAGTAAGCTAGGCATATACTCCTGGCTATACCACCTGAATCACGAGGCATCTTTTTCTTTATAAAGAGGTTTGACTAATAAAATACACTATTTCAGTATGTCATATGATTGTGCAGATAAATTATACAGATTTGATAGGTAGGTATGTTCAGTTATTCCTTATGTTTTAAAATAGAACAGACAAGTTAAATGGGTAGGTATCAGCGAATGAGACTTGAAGTACTGGTCCACTGCTGAGTATTGGAAAAAAAGGTGGCATTTTCATTTACAATGTATCCAGCTTCTCTTCAGTAAGAGTGTGTGTTACATACTACAATGTCTGAGAGCTCTAATTGAGAAGCAGAAGGAGATAGATACAGGATGAATGATTGTGATAGTATTTGGGAAGGAATGCTTGTCATTTCTGAAGTCGTGTTCTTTGTTGGATATTAAAATATATGTGTGTCTGCTGTTGACTGCCTAGGGAAAAAAGTTATTTTCCTTATTCTGAGCAGTAGAAAGTATAAATTAGACTGCTGCTTCAGAACAGAAAAGGAGGAGGGGGCTCAAAATGCTAGCTACAGTAAAAAGCTTACAGGGTTCTGGTTTTGTGAACACAAATGTCATTTAAACACTTTGAATCTTATATTTTGATATGCAAATTTAAGGATTTGAGCCATTAGCACTATATGGGTAGTGTTGGTCATTTATTTATTTTCTTCCTCATCAGCTTCTTTTGGATCCTGTTGATTTCAAAACTACTCATCTAATGTTTCACACTGTTACAAAATGCCTCATGTCAAGGGATAGATTTTTAAAAATGAGAGGTAAGATCTCTAGCTATTCTGTTGCTGTTTTACAATTGCAATTATTGCTGTTTAAAACAATTTTGTATTTGTTGTTCAGGCATGGAAATCTTGGCAAATCTTTGTAAGGCTGAAGATAATGGTGTCTTAATTTGTGAATATGTGGATCTGGAATCGTATAAAGAGATCATATGTCATCTCACGCTACCAGATGTGCTGCTTGTAATCTCAGCACTTGAGGTGCTATACATGCTCACAGAAATGGGAGAAGTGTCCTGCTCAAAGATTGCTAAAGTAGAGAAGAGCATAGGTAAGGGAGAAATGAAATCTGTTACTCTCGCTTACGTAGGAAAAATGTCTTAACCACTGAACATAACATATTCTTAAAAATGTGGCTTGATTATGTGTGTGCAATTTAGGGATGGGTATTAGAATAGGAAGCTTTATGAAAATTTTCTCTCTGTGTCCTCAAGAAATTGATGATGCTGGTAACTGGGGAAGCTATAACTTTTGAAATAGGTTTTTGGGGTTGGGAAGGGGGCTTGGGGGGTGTTGTTTGGTTTTTGTTTTTTTTTTTAATGCCATGAAGGTAGTGGGTAAAAAGAATCTACAGAGCATGCAGAGGGATGTTTTCTTTCAACACATGGCAATTTTAAAGCAACTCAGGTATGTCCTAGCAGCATTCATTTGTCTTGTCCTAATGTCATTGTCGGTTTTACATTTAATACTTTAGATACATTAGTATGTCTGGTTTCTATGGACATCCAGATGTTTGGAGCTGATGCACTTACTGCTGTAAAACTCATTGAACATCAGTGCGTTCCCCAGCAAGGAGTACCTGATGTCAGACCACAAGTAATGGATCATGGTTCACAGGCCCATGCAACAGGTGTCCCAGGTGAGTATGTTCTCCTGCAGTGATACTATTCTACAAAATTTCCTATGTGGAATGTATGGGTTTTGTCTTCTGCGGGTTTCTGATTAATTTACATAAGTATGGCATTAAGCATAAAATAAGGTATCTTTTTCAGACACCTGTTCACAAAGCAAATACAAAGCTGTGTTAGCCAAAACTGTTGTGAAACAAGCTTTAAAAGAATCTTAAGATTAGAATCTTTTTCAGTTGCTAATGTGGAAATTTACTGAAAGTTATGTATGCTCCTTGTTTTAACTTGTTCAGTGGAAAGAAAAGTATCCATTCTGGATTGTTCCCACAATTTGCAGAGAAGTAGAGGTCCATTGTGTATTGTGTTTCACACAGAATATTACTGGGCATTTACATACATTATTTGATAGAATTGTGGAGGTGAGATAGACACACAGAATCATGCCTCTGCTGAAGCTGCTGAACAGCTGTTGTGGGGTGAACCAAAATTTAACTGTTGTTTAGAGCCTGAAAAGTGTTTTCTTAACTGTAAGTTAAATTGTAATTATGATTAATTTTTGCTGTATTATCTTGGTATTAAATACTGGCACTTTCGAAGTTGATGGCACAACTAATGATTATTGGTCGGGGGAATAGCATATGTGCCTCATTCTGTCTTTACTAATAAAAGCACATAGCGGTATACCGCAGGTGCACACAAGATGGAACATAGCTGTTCGCTCTGGGGAAGAAATTGAGAAAGAACCATTACGACAGACACTGGCTTGCATGTCTAAATGTACTGTTTCTGGAATGGGTGCAGATACCACAGTGAAAGTGACTGGAAAAGAATGTGACTAAGGGGATGAACAAGAATGAATAGAGGGAACCAATGTGACATCACAGCAAAATTCTTTACATTGTATTTGTTTCCACTTTGGAATTGGAAAAATAATTGCTGTGTATTTGTGCCTGTTCTGGTGGAGTATTGTGCCACTCCTAAATCGTGTTCACTGCTCTAAAACATGATCTCAGGATCATGGATCATGGTCGTGAATCTAGAAGCTGTAGTTCACTAAGTGCTTAGGTTGTGATTGCACTTCAGTGGTGGCTTTGGCCTTGGCAAGTCTTGCTTCACTTTGGGAAATTGTGGTGCAAGTCTGTAGCCTGCTTAGTGCATCTTTGTCCCTTGCCTTAGCTGGATACATCCTTGCTTACAAACACAGGAGAAACTGTACCAGTGAAAGTCATGGAGTTGAAGTGCTTCAATCAGGAGAACAAAGATGGTTTCAGTGAGGTTTTTTTTTTTTTTTCTTCCTCTTACTATCCACAGCCTCTAGGACAGCACCACATGTTGCTCCACCACCGGGAATAGTAGAAATAGACAGCGAGAAATTTGCATGCCAGTGGTAAGTGTAAAGTTCTATTCAAATGCTTTAATGAAGAAGAAAAACAAAGAAAAACACCTGTATTCATGTGTCACAGAATTTTCTAGCTTGCGTCTATTTACTGTTAGACTCATTTTTCTGAAAAGTATAAAGCAAAATCATTCTGTCGTTCCTTTGAAGAAGTATGAAGGAAAAAACTCAACTAGAATATTCACTCTAATACTTGAAATTAGTTGTTTTCTCTCTTAGAATAGAATTTAATTTGATTTTTAACTCTGATCTTGATTTTTTAAATTTTTTAAGTTGTCAGGCAGCATTATCTGGTTCATGAATGTTTTCATCTTGTAATGTATTGCTATATTGCTGCACCAATGTAAAAATAATTATAAAATTACGAAGCTAGGCCCTGCAAAACTCTCATGTGGTCAATGTGAACCTCAAGCAAGTTAAGGAAGACCAAACCCTTTTCCATCCAAATTCTCTTGCTTTCAACAAATAGACCTGTTGTCAGATATTTAGAGAAAAACTATACTGCCTGTGGTTCTCAGGCGGACTGAGGGTGATCTTTCTGAACTATTCAACTTACAGAAATCTACTTGCATTCTAAATATTTGTATTAATTGGTTCCTGATGGACCCTTCCACCTTTGCTGCTTCATGGCTCATATGTTCTTCAGTGGTCTCATTGATCAGAAAAAGGCCTTCAAGATAAAGTGGGTAGAATTTGGCAGAGCTTAGTGCTTTAGTTGTACTTTCAGCAGAACTTTGATTGTGTGGGGGATGTGTTGCAGATTCTTGTTGGTCAGCTGATGTTGGTCCCATGTGTCTGTTTGCACACTGCAAAGTAGTAGTAATGTGCAGTGCTGGAAGACTGAGAAATTTCACATTCAGACATTTAAATAGGGGTACCTGGGGTTGGAATCACCGCAGCTCAGTTTAGTGATCTGCAAGTTGATTTCTAGCCAAAATGAGTTTTCTAGGCTGCCTTTTTAATTGATGGAGTGGGAGATTCCCCCAGTGGTAAAATGCATTGCCTTCACCTGCCTAGTGTCTGATGAGATTACAAGTTACCTTCTGGTGCCATCATCTTCTCTATTATAGACTACAGAGAGCACTAGACATCTAGCTTTCCATAGTAAAGCTGTAGGCAAGGTGAACTTTGCATTCTGTATAAAATGTAAAATAGAAGTTTTGAGTGTTAAAATAAGTATGGGTAGGTACCATGCTGCAACTGTGCGATACAGTCAAATGACAGAAAATAAAGAAGCAAACCATAGAGGATTATGTCAGGGAGATTTGGAATGTCTGCTTTGTTTCTGATTCTGTGTGCTTCTGCAGGTGTCAGCGTTGAATACTTTACTTTGTACTTGATTTTCTTCCAGTTTGTCATAGGTAGACATAACAAGTGAAAAGTAAAAATTAACATCTAGTCTTGAAAATTCTCCTTAAATGCTAACTGTGCTGCCAAAAAACAAACAAACATGCAAACTGAGAGCAGAGGAGTAGCCTCTTCAGTGCACTTTCTTTAATACTAACATGGAATGTCTTAGATTCATGTAAATTTTCATGGTATGTTTTACTTGTTTCCTGTTGAGAGAAAGGGGAAAATGAGTAAATTGTTATGGCAGAATTTAGAAAAGTTACTATCTCTTGGAAGCAGGAGAAAGACAAGGTGTTTAAACTGACCTTCCCAGATATATTATTAGCCAGCTTAGCCTGAGTAGGAGTCCTTGTAAGGTAAGTGTGTGTGATGATAAAGTGCTAATCGCAGATCCCATTTCACCGTTACAAGTCCTGACTATATTCAGATCACTAGTGCCAGTGATAGTGTGTCAGGCTAGTACGACGTACCCCACTGGACAGTCATTTGTCTGATATGCCAAATTTAATTAATACCTAGACTTTCTGTTATACAGTGGGATCTCAATTTTTGTAATAATAAAATTGTAACTCAACTGTGGGAGAAATGGCATTATGCCTTTTCTGTAGTGGTTATGAGAGAACACAGTTTAAAGAATGTAATTATTTCCCTTTCCTCATTTGAACTGTCTAGTTATATTGGGAGTGTAGGACTCCACAAAGGAGAATGCAGTGTAGTCTTCCAAAGTGTTAGTGCTGTATTAAATGTTGACAGTTTAAAAAATAGTTTTATTCTGTCTGAGCCTATATTCTGGTACTGGTATTTGAGCATTGTGCGAGAGTTGTTACTTACCTCCATTTGCTGCTGGGGATGAACTGTTCCCATGTCTCTGGGTTGGAATAATGGATCTGAAAGAAATGAAATTAAATTGATAGAAAATGTTTCCTTCTCGCACTGCTTCCTGGTTGGGGAGTGGATGATCTGTGTGCTTGTGGAGAATCTGTAGGAGATGCAAATACTTTCTCTCCCTGGAAATTGAACATTAGGCAGAACAGGTTGTTCAAGGATTTTCTTGATGCCAGTGTAGTTTGGGACTCCAGACGTGAGACTGTGTGTGTTTTGTGTGCGTACTCTCTTAGAATCACAGTCCCCTCTCTCCTGCCTTCCCACCCGTATCAGAATGACAGGGTTGAGATTGCTATTCTATTTCTGGTTTTAGCTGTAACGTTAAAGTAAGACTGCATTAGCAGATCAGTTAGCAAAGTCTTGGTTTTGATACAAACGAATTTTCATAGAAATTTCTGATGAAGAGTTAGCTAGCATTCAGACCATCTTTTGCTGAATTAGAATCATTAGGAAATAAGAAGGGAGCTGTGAGGAGGAGATGTCACTAAACAATGCTTTCTTTTGTGGTTTTGTTTCTGAATATACAATAAAAAAGGCATATGTAGAGACTAGTTTGCATATTGCATATGTAAATAAGATCTTGCATGTAAAACTGGCTGCATGCGTTAGGGGTCCTATGTGTTGAATATTGCAAGCAGTGAGAAGGAGAAAGTCTGGAACAGACATTTGACAAGACAATATACTAAAATGCTGTTTTCCATGTGGTTGTCGGGTCTCAAAAGTCTCTGTGATACAGACAGAAGTGTTTTAACAACCCTTTTAAAAGTGCACTCTCTGTATTTTGCTTCATAGTTTATTTTTTCATCCTCAGGTTGAACGCACATTTTGAGGTGAATCTTGATTGCTCAGTCTCTCGAGCAGAAATGTACTCTGAATACCTCTCTACCTGTAGTAAATTAGCTCGAGGTGGAATCCTAACATCAACTGGATTTTATAAATGTCTGCGGTAAGACAGAAATTCATGCAACAATAATGAAGCAATTGTATGTGCTCAATACTAACTTGTAGCTTTAGATTTCTTTGAGAAAAGATGTACTGAGTTGAGTTAGAAAGATGTCCAGTTTTGGAATTTTAATAGAAACAAATATTTAGAGTTTGTTTAATTTTATTTCATTCTGTTTCAGGATCTTTGATAGGGTTCCTTCTCTGCATATAGTCCTTTTAATTCTTTCCAAATCGGTTTTTGGAGGTATTGTAGTTTTCACTTAGCTTGTATGAGATCTTGGCCAACCATCTGGTGGACCTGTTGATCCTCAGTGATGAATACTCAGATGCTATTGGAGAATCCTGCTGTATTGCAGAGATGCAGGTGTTAGTGGAGTTACTCTGCACACAAGAGCAGTTAGTTAAAAACAGTTAGTTAAAATTGAGTTGCTGTGTTTATTAACATTTATTAACACAGATTTATGTTGTGTTTGGCAGAACTGTCTTTCCAAATCATACAGTGAAGAGAGTAGAAGATCCAAGTAACAACGGTCAAGCACATATACATGTGGTAGGAGTCAAAAGGAGAGCTATACCACTTCCCATTCAGATGTACTATCAGCAGCAACCAACTTCGTCTGCCCCAGTTGTCCGGGTTGATTCAATTCCTGATGTGTCTTCGTCTCCTTCGCCAGCAGGTTTTAAAATTCATTAAATATCAAGTATTTTGCAGTAATTTTGAAATTACAATAAGAGACAAAAGTTTTTGAAGATAGTTTGAAAGTGTTGGAACGTGGGGCCACGTGTGTTGATTGATTTTATTCAAGAATGTTAGGAATAATGATTGCAATGTTTACTTGCGTGCCATTCTGGTGTTTGATGTGTAGCACATAAACTTGTCAGTCAGAAGACAAGCCATTGTTGCTGCATCATTAATTCAGATGCAGTATAGCTGAGAAGAGAAACTGCTTCATATAGAATTACAAATTCAAACCTTGGATTTTAAAAAATATGTTCATGTGTTTTGAAATAATTTTTGCTTCCAAATTTTTGCTGTGTTTATCTCAACAGGAATCCCACATGGGCTACCAAGCGTAGGAAATCACTATCAGAGGACGCCTCTTAACCAGTCTTCAACTTTGACAGCAACACAGATGTCTTTTCCAATTCAAGGTGTTCATACTGTGGCACAGACTGTTTCTAGAATTCCACAAAATCTTTCTGTTCATACACAGCAGCAACAAAATGCTCCAGTGACTGTTATACAGAGTAAAGGTCCAATACCCTGTGAAGTAGTGAAGGCCACAGTAATCCAGAGCTCTGTTCCCCAGTCTGCAGTTCCTGTTACTATTGCTGTAGGAGGAGCACCACAAGCTTCTAATCAAAGTTACAGCACTACAGGACAACAGCCGTCTGTTACTGTTGTTAGTTCTCAGACGCTGCTTCACCACCAACCTGTAATTCAACAGCAGTCTCCACTGCATGCGGTGGTACCAGGACAGATACCTTCAGGCACTCCTGTGACGGTAATTCAGCAAGCTGTACCTCAGGGTCATATATTTGGCAGAGTACAAAACATACCAGCATGCAGTTCAGCAGTTTCACAGGGTCAGCAGCTAATCAGCACATCATCGCAACCTGGGCAGACATCATCTCAGCAGTCTTCTGTTGGCAACCAGCAACAAGATACCGTCATCATAGCACCACAGCAGTATGTCACGACCTCTGCATCCAACATTGTTTCTGCCACCACGGTTCAAAATTTCCAAGTAGCAGCTGGGCAGGTGGTTACGCTCGCAGGTGTCCAAAACCCACCAACATCTAGGGTAGGGTTTCAGAATATCGCACCAAAGCCTGTGCCGTCTCAGCAAGTTCCACCAGCCGTGGTACAGCAGCCAATGCAGCCGCAGCAGCAGCCTCCGCCACCATCTCAGCAAAGTGTAGTGATTGTAAGCCAGCCAGCGCAGCAAGGTCAAACGTATGCACCAGCCATTCATCAAATAGTGCTTGCTAATCCAGCTTCTATTCCCGCTGGTCAAGCTGTCCAGTTGACTGGACAGCCAAGCATTACTCCATCTTCTTCGCCATCCCCAGGTCCGGTTACAAATAACCAAGTCCCTACAGTTATGTCATCTTCGTCTACCACTCCTCAGTCACAAGGACCCCCTCCTACTGTCAGCCAGATGCTTTCTGTAAAGAGGCAGCAGCAGCAGCAACATTCACCAGCATCATCGCAGCAGCAGGTACAGGTACAACAACCAATACAAATGCAAGTTCAGTCACAACAAGCTAATACAGGAGTTGGCCAGCCTAACTCTGGTGAGTCTAGTCTGATAAAACAACTGCTTCTTCCAAAAAGAGGCCCCTCGACTCCAGGGGGGAAGCTTATACTCCCAGCTCCACAGATTCCTCCACCTAACAATGCAAGAGCTCCCAGCCCTCAGGTGGTTTATCAGATGGCCAATAACCAGGCACCAGGTTTTGGAGTTCAAGGACAGTCTCCAGCTCAGCAGCTGCTAGTTGGACAGCAAAATGTTCAGCTGGTCCCAGGTGCAATCCAGCCCCAAGGGGCAGTACAAACAGTACCCATTTCTAATTTACAGATATTGCCAGGCCAGTTGATCTCAAACAGCCCAGCAACTATTTTCCAAGGGACTACTGGCAACCAGGTTACGATAACAGTTGTGCCAAATACGAGTTTTGCTACTGCAACTGTGAGTCAGGACTCTTCCAGCTACTCAAGCACCTTCAGCTGGACAATCACCATGTACTGCTGCTCCCCCATTCAAAGGTGATAAAATAATTTGCCAAAAGGAGGAAGAAGCAAAGGAAGCAACAGGTTTACACATTCATGAACGTAAAATTGAAGTTATGGAGAATCCTTCCTGCCGAAGAGGAGCTGCAAACACCAGCAATGGGGATGCAAAAGAAAATGAAATGCAGGTGGGAAGTCTTTTAAATGGGAGAAAGTATAGTGACTCCAGTCTACCTCCTTCTAACTCAGGGAAAACTCAGAATGAGGCCAATCAGTGCTCACAAGTCAGTAATGGGCCATCATTAGAAATGGGTGAGAACGGAGCTCCCGGAAAGCAGAACTTTGAACAGATGGACACACAGGAAATTAAAAGTGATTTGAAGAAGCCCCTAGTTAATGGAATCTGTGATTTTGATAAAGGAGATGGTTCTCATTTGAGCAAAAACATTCCAAATCACAAAACTTCCAATCATGTAGGAAATGGTGAGATATCTTCAGTGGAACAACAAGGGAATTTGGATGCCACGCAGCAAGATACTGCCAAAGGTGATCAAGGGGAAAGAATTTCTAATGGGCCTGTATTAACTTTGAGTAGTTCACCTGTTGTAAGCGGTACACAGGAGGCTGCAAAACTGTTAACCCAGCAACTTAGTGGTACCAACACTGATTTACCTAATGGACCTCTAGCTTCAAGTTTGAATTCAGATGTGCCTCAGCAACGCCCAAGTGTAGTTGTCTCACCACAATCTACAGCCTCTGTTATACAGGGGCATCAAATCATAGCAGTTCCACACTCAGGACCTAGAGTGTCCCAGTCTACCCTGTCATCCGAAGTTCGGTCTACTAATGGCACAGCAGAATGCAAAACTGTAAAGAGGCCAGCAGAGGATAATGACAGGGAAACTGTTCCAGGAATTCCAAATAAAGTAGGAGTTAGAATTGTTACAATCAGTGACCCCAACAATGCTGGTTGCAGTGCAACTATGGTTGCTGTGCCAGCTGGAGCGGATCCAAGCACTGTAGCGAAAGTAGCAATAGAAAGTGCTGTTCAACAAAAGCAGCAGCATCCAACCACGTATATACAAAGCATGGTCACACAGGTATGTTGCAGTGTTCTTTTTATGTTTATTCCAACTGTGATTCTGACTAATGCTGTGAAACAATGCGGGTGAAAATGTAAACTCATTCTGTATCTCTTGCATGGTGTTTAAAATACTCAGAAAATGATGGTTACTCTTCTTTCATGAACTAAAGTTCTAATAGCTTGCATACTTCTCAATGTCAATAACACTAGTGGAATTTAAATAGTTTGTAGCTTGATAATACACAGTAAGGAAAGAACTTCTGCTCGCTGATTTCTTCTTTAAAGGATTAACTGTTCTGAAAACAACAATGAATTGTTGTATAGTCTTCTGAAAATGTCAGAATTATTCTGCCTTTTATTCTTGGTCCTTATTGCTTATGGAGGAGGGGTGAATAAGACTTTTTTGCAAGTTAGTCACAGCAACTGCTTCTCGCTTGCGGGAAGAGGTTGGAAGTTCTTGCATTTAAAGATTGTCTTGAAAGGTTTGCTTCAGACGTTCACTACAGTCAGGAGAAAGTATTGTTCTGTGAATTTGCTGAAATATTTATGTTAATTGCAAAAGATTTGTAATTTTTATTTTATCAGTACAGTATGCACTGCTTATGTTTTTTTTCTGTTTGGCAGATTTTGGAGAGGGCTTTTTTGGGGGTTTGTTTTTTTTCTCAGTCAACTTTCTCTTAACCATATGAAAGTGGTTACTCCCTAACACTTTACTAGAAATGAGGCATGGCTATCAGTTGTATGAGCATTGGTGAGTATAGATAGTCATGTTTAAAATTATTCCAGTCTCTAGAATTTACTTTAACTTTGTACGTGGTCAAAAAAATCCCTCTGCAAAAAGCATTCCTAACCTGAATAGAAGCAAAAAGAATAGAACAGTAGGTCTGGCAGTCACAGAGTTCTGGCAGACTCCGGAGAGGAGAAATGAAATCTTGAGTGTATGTTAGTGCATTTTGACCTTGGGGTAAGACAGGTCTTTCATTTCTTATCTTACGTTTTTGTTTGTTTGGTTGGGTTTTTGTTTGGTTGGTCGGGTTTTTGTTTGTTTGTTTTTGACGGGGTAGCGGGTATAGACCTTATGGACTTCAAAAGAGCTAGAACTCAAAATTCAACAAGTGATCACTAGTCCTGCTTCTTTTTCTGTGTCAGGTTAGGTTTCTGTTGAAAGCTCTCTTGACTTCATCTAGCTGTCAGAAATCAGGACTAACAGTTAACAAATCTTCTTTCTTTTTCTCTCTTTTCTTTTTTCTTTTAATTGCCACACTGCACAGAGTTATGTTTTTAAAATGTCTTTAAACTCACATGTAAGTTTTCACTTAGGTTTTATCAGAGATCCCTATTTTTCTGATATGTTATTTATCTTTGTTCTTATTAGAAATGAATTGACCAAAATGAAAGTGTCTTTTGGCACCACAGGGAGAATGAGCTAGATTTTCTGTAGTGTGGATGAAAAAAGCAAGCTATGCCTTGCCTTTTACAGTGAGTGTCTTTAGCTGTTACGCAGTTTGAATTTCTGTTACAGCTTTGCTATGGATTTGGCTGAAATAGAAAATGGTATGGCTGTGTTTCTGGAATGGAATAAATATTATCTGTGGTTATTTATTCCTTGGACATGTGGCTGACGACTTTACAGTTGTGTCTCAAACAGCTATCAGATTTCCAGATTTTTGAGAAGAGGGGAGTAAAACAGTTAACTGTTTAATTTGTATTGGATTAGCAGTTCTGTCATGATAATAGAGAAAAAAAGAGTATTTTCTATGCTGATAGTTTCTTTTTTACACTATCAGTAATATCGCTATCATTAATAGTTCCTAGATTTTCCATTACCAGTACAAACAGAAGTGTTGCCAGCTGGGTATGCCACTCAGTACAGATTTGCAGATCAAAATAACTTCATTTATTGTCTGCTTCTGTAGAATTTGGCTGAGCGGATGCCCTTGCTTTCTTCAAAATTATAGGAAGTTACAGGAGTTTATTAGTTTTGATCTTGGTGAACAATCTAATTTGTTAGTTAATTGCCTTAGGTGATTATATATGGCTGTTTATGAATATTGTCTATCATGATGATGCTAAGTACTGACTTAGAATAGAAGCTACCCTGTACTACTCTGTTCCGATATAGTGAACATCATAGTTTGTCTTAAGACTTCTAAAGATCTGTACCACTCCTTTAAAATTGATGTGTTGGACTATAAACTGTACCAGAATTGTTCTGGCCAGGTCTTTTCTTTTTCCAAAGCTGCTGAGCAGCTGCAGTAGCCATTGTTTTGCTGGAAAAGGAGATGTTAAGTGTTTCCAATACTGGGTCTGCTTTTATGAATATCTTTGACATCCAGAAATATCAAGGTGTAGTGAAATGCTTATGAAATCAGTTTGAGTTTTAATGATGACTTCTTTTGAGGTTAGGCCTTGTAGAACCCCCTTTTTTTCTCCTTCCCATTTTGAGAGTCTTCCGTGTGTGATAAGCAGTTTTCTTGTCTCTGACTTTTCGAAACGCAGCAGCTAAGGAGCACTTTTGTTCACTTGAGTACCCACATTGTTTTATTCTCTCTGCAGTACCTAATGTATACTGGCTGTTTTGCAGAAAAAATAGGAGAACATAGTACTTTCTGCAAGCAGTGTGAAATTTATTGTAAGTACAACCCAATGGAGAAAAAAGGTGAGGGACAGGGAATAGAGGGATATTAGCTAAGGCAAAGTTACGTAGCTGTTGAAGCTGTTAGTCTGTGATTTCCTGTTTGCTTGTCATCTTAAAATTTTATTTTAAGCTGTAGATTGTATTTCAGATAAGTGAGAAAGGGGTGGAAGGAGAATGTTTCTAATAAAATTAGAACCTAGCAGAGAGGCTGGAAAAAGAGATGGAGAGGACAGAAAAGGGGGGTGAGTATTGCTTATGCAACTACAGCAGGATTAGTTGTCATGAACTGCAGAGAGTGGAAAGGGAAGGTGCTTGAACAGAAGATAAGGAAGGGCAAACACATAGGGGGAGGAAGGGAACAGCAAGGTGGAAACTAAGGAAAGCAAAGCAAAGTGAAATAATCCTTAAGAGAGCGTAAAAGTTACAGTTTGTTTCATGATATGAATGGTAGTTCAAAATGGTCTGGTACTATATACTTGAGGGGAAAAATGTTGATTTGAATGGCCTGCTAAAATAATGAAAGTTATATCCTTGTTGTTTGTGGGACAGTCTGTGTAGAGCTATTGAAATCCAGTTAGACAACTACAGGCACCTTCTGCACATAGGTTGTGATTATTCCATGTTAATTGTACACCTCAGCAGAAATAATTGAAAAATAGCTACATACACAATGACTCTAAAGATTTTTCTTTTCATTTTTTGCATTTTTATAAAAAAATGAGCTATGGGTATATGGATTATGTCAGAAGAGGATGTAAGATACACACAGTGTTGCAATTTTTTCTTATATGTCCATCTGTATTATGTAAGCTCATGAAATGTAGTCTGAGATGAGACAGAACTGGCACTGTACTTTCTTGGCTTACTTTTCTTTATTTCGGTGTTCCCTGTTCTGGATTATTGCTTTCCTGAGGCATTGTGCTGGACCGGTGGATGAAAAAGAAATGAATAATTACCTACCTGTACATTTCCTTTTCTTTTCCACTTTTTCCTACTCCTCTTCAAACACCTCCAAAACATCTGTGGAACATAACCACGTTGGTTTGTCCCAATTGGTAGGCATTTTGAAGGAATGCTCTGATACCATGCCAAGTTTCTAGAAGTGAGCGAATCTGATTTAAATTGCCGTATCTGGCTTTTAAAGTAATCACTTCCCTCCTCATCACTGTCATTCCCTCATAAACAATGCACACCCATTTCTCTTAAGGCCACCCACTTGAAACATACTTGTGTGGAAATTTAGGTGGCAAAAACTGTGTGAGTCTTGCCATAACTATTTGTTCCTGCTCTCTGCTGATTGGGAAGCTGAGAATTACCATGCACCAGAAAGCAGGTGTGTAGCTCCAGGAGGTGTAATTTGTTCCTAGCCACACAGTAAATGAGTTTCTCAGCTGGGAGTACCGAAAAACAGAATCTCTGTGCTTTTATTGCTCTTCACTTGTGAAGCACAGTGTTGCAAGGAGACTTAAACTTCAGTAATCTAACAAGGAAAGAACAGTAATCTAACAAGGAAAGAACGTTTATTTTAGTGCCTACCCATCCACCTGACCCCTTCCTCACACTTAAATCCTGCTATGTTAATTTTCAGTTTATAGATTACCTTTTTTTATATATGTTCATTCTCGTGAAGAAGCTAAACATAAAATTTTGTAATATCAAACTATAAATCCTGTTGTACTTTAAAAAATATTTTTACTAATAATTAACGGTTTATTGTTGAGTTAAATGTATTTACTATGGGTGTGCACATACTAATGATGGGAGAAAAAATACAGCGTAATGCTTTTAAACTACGTACGAGTCAGTATGTCAACAGGACCCCAATCACACTGGGATGTAGTGTGTTCCCTTGCTGATGGCACAGTAGGACTTTTAAATAAAATGGGCCCGTATCATGCTAAAATACAGTTATCCATTAATACATAAAGGGAATGGCACCATTGGTTCCATGAGATGGGACTGGAGGCCATCTCTGGCCCTAAGCCAGTGGGTTTGTTACTCCTACCACGTGGGGAGCTTGTGTGCCCAAATAGAGGAGCTCTCATGCATAAAAATAAATCAGTATCTCTTATAAACAGTCCATTCTAGTTAGCAGAAGGCTCTTAGCTTTAATCTTAGTTTTCATGACTATGTTGGACTTCCCCCCCGATATCTCAAGCTAAAGTCACAAAGTCTAGAGGTAAAAATCTGCTGCTTAATAAAAGCAGGCTGTGGTGTCTGTTCTGTAAGTAGATTGTACAGGCTTTAAGGGTTTGTGTTCATGTAGTTTTAGGAGTTCGATGCAAACCATAATGAGATAGGCAATGTTGGCAGTGGTACCTCTCAGTCCCAAGATCCAGTGAGATCTGATTTGCAGAAGTGCTAAGTGGTGGCAATCACAAATCAGATCATGGAGAGGTCTAAGCTGAAGATAAGAAGATGCCATGAAGTGCTTTCAAGTGTACTAGAGTACTGGGCGTTTGATTTCTTGAGGAACCTGAAATCATTGAAGGTTTTTGCTAGAGGAGGATATTTTGTGACATCTTTATGCGTGGGGAGGTTTTTTTCAGTGTTACTTCTCCCAGAAAGACTTATTAGGAAAAATTAAATGTCTGTCATAGTTCTGTATCATAAAAGAAGTGAGTTTACATAAATCATTGCATGTCAGTACTGTAAACTAGGTAGCACATAGCAAGTATTTCTAGGTACATTTCTGGAAAAAAGGAGTTTTCATTTCTGAAAAACAAAGACTGTACCTAATTTTAGTGATATCTCATGTATCATGCATTACCAAATTGATATATGAAGATAGAGAAGGGAGAAAAGAAAAATTAGCCATATTTCTGATCTCTTGAAGAAAGAGAGGAAAGCTTTGAGATGTTCAAACATAGAACTTGTGTTTCTAAAATAAAACCTAGGAAAACAAATAGAATTACTTTATCTGTTGATTTTAAAATATAATCAGCACAGTTGATAGGCAAGCAATAAATATGACTTAAAAATTGTTGGAAGTTATAACCCCCTATATGCTACAAGTTTGAGCAAAACTACTTTGCAGCACAGTAGAAATACAAGAATTCTAAACAACAACAATTATTTTACACATTTCAGTTTATCACCTTTTTTCTTCTTCACTGAAAAAAAAGGTTAGAAAGAAATTGGAGGCGAAACTGAATTTTAAATTTTTGTCCTGAAAATTTGTTTCCCTTTCTGTGCTTTCATTTTCAGCATATAACATTTTGTGTTGTGTATCTCAGATGTCTTTGTTGAAAATAAACAGTTTTTAAGGAGACAGTATTAAAACCTTTGAGTACCACTAGGAGAGCTTGCCAGAAAAATCCTTGAGAAAATTCGTAATTCTGGATTAATTGCAGGGTTTGCTTAGAATAGAGTAAATAATACATGAACCACACATTGAATGATGAGAATTAAATGAAATACTGAATTAATTCAGTAAGCTCATGCTCTCTAGCACATCAAATGAGACAGAAGTTCGATAGGGATAAAAAGTCACATGAAAACCATCATAATGCATTGATATCAGGATGCCAAGTGAAGATTGTGTAACAAGCTGTACTGTTGACACTTGATGATTTTACTTTCAGCTTCACTTTAAAAATGCCTTGTTAGAGAGACATTGATCTGAAAAGGCTCCACTGGTGTGTTTATCTTTGTTTAAAAGATACATTGTGATAATTCATTACCCAATCTGTAAAATAGCTTAGAGGTCTTTAGATGACAATCACTGCGGGGTTCATAATAATTTATGGTTGTGACTAATGGACTCGAGTCCTTTCTTACAGCTTTTCAAACATGCAGATCACAGGCATCGTGCAGTAGTTGTGCTGTGTTCGGGAGTTTTGCTGAGGTTTTTTTGTCTTATGTTTATCAGGATTTATGCCTGGATATGGGAAGTGTTTTGGTTTTGAAGGGGCTTTTTTGCTGTCCCTTTGGTCCTGTTATTAGCAGTGTACGATCTGTGATAGTTGTTAACTCATTACCCTGTGTGACTGTTGTCCACAATGCCAAGAGGGAGCAGCAGGAAGAAAACTTAAAATCAATATGCAAATGAAATGTTAGAAGTTGTTGGTTTCTTTACAGTTAAAGTCTAAAGCTATTCAGTAACAGAGCTGTGAAGATGTGAACAAAATATTATGAGCACCATTTGAAAATGCTTCTTTTATAATAAACACAGACCTGAAAGTAGTTTTGGTTCTTCATTCCTAGATAATATTCAGAAGCTTAATTTTTTTTATTCTCATCATATTTATAAGTGTTTTGCTGGCCAGAGCCTTCCAGGAAACAAGAAGGAAGAGAAGCAGTATTCTGACATAAACAGTGTTCTGAAAAGGGGAAATCCAATGTTCAGTATCTATTATTCAGAAAAAGAAATAAAATTGACTTATTTTGGCTTTGTTTTTACCTCTTTTTGGTTACTTTTAAGACAATATTTATTCACTGTTAAAATAAGCATCTTGTAATATTGCAAGGAAGCAAGGGGAACATCTTTTTCCTTTCTGAAATGGTTATATTTCACTCTACAAGTTGTACAGCCTGTGTAGGTGTTCTGGGCATGTGGTGTTCTGTATAAATATACTTGGGCTGGCTGGTTTTACAAGGGCTTAAAGAATTATAGAATTTGCAAAGTTTTACAGAGAAAATGGTATGTCATAGTTTGAGCCTCGAGGTCTTTAGTAGTGTTTCTTCAGCATTGTTCAGTTCACCTTTTCTTATGCACTCTGTAACACAGGCTGATGTGTATTAATGCGCCAGTTCAAGAACTCCACAGATGCAGCACATAAAACCATTTCATCAAAGAACATAAAACAGTTTTAGATGTATCAGTGCTCATTTTACTTACTTTAGCAATATTTCCTCCTACATTTCCATAGGAAAGCACACTATTCCCTATGCTGATAATATTGCACCCCCTTGACTTTGCATTTTTTTTCTTTCTTAAAGAACAAAGCCTTTGCAAAATAACGCTAACCTTTGCTCCACTGGTGCTCTTGAGAAATTCCTTTGCAGTTCATAATTCTGTATTTGAATTTAGACATAAGGTTTAGTAATTTGAATATTAGAAACTTCTGCATAAATACTGCAGTGTACAAGTTGTATGTCCTTCATGTTATGTCTATTGATGATTGTTCAGAGTTCAAAGTATTAGAATCTGAAAACTTGTGGTGGCTTAAAGTGTGAATCAAAACATATTTGAACAAACAGTAAAATGTATGTGAAGTCTTGAGATAAGTGCTGTTTAAAACTGTGCTTTAACTTTTTTCTGCAGAGCACACCTGCAACGTCGATACCAACAGTGCAAGTACAGGGCCAGCAGATCAATTTGCAGCCGCCTTCATACACTGCAGCAAGTCAGCATGCAGAGCAAATGAAAAAACCTGGACAGAACTTCATGTGTCTCTGGCAGTCTTGTAAAAAGTAAATGGCTCCTTTATTTAACTACCTTTTGCTAATACGTAACAGATGGTTGTGTATAGAAAGTGATTCTACAAGTTCCATCGATTCTGTTTCCTTAAGTTACTTTGTACTTCGTCAGTGGGGAAAGGAAAAAGTGAAAAGTGTTAAGGAGGCTGAAGCTGAGATGAGGGAGTGCAAGACATTTAACTGTTCTTAATTACACTTCAGAGCATAAACTGAGTATTATGTGGCCTTCTTGTGGTATATTGATTCTTCAGCAATAAATATTGTCATGTAGTTAAGTTTAAAAAAAAAAAATTCCTGGCTCTGAAGCTTGTTCTGTGTGTTGCAAGTACAAATATAGTTACCGTACTCCAGTTACAAATCCTGTCTTCACATATTCTTGTGTTTCCAGCTTCTAATCTTTCTTGTGTTTCGTGTGTTTCTTTCTTGTGTTTCCAGTTTTGCAAGAGCAGGGTGTTGCACTTCTATGTCCTAAACAAAGTCTTATTTAGATTATGGCTAGTTTTAGTAATTATGATACCATTTGTGTGCCGCAGGACTCCATTGTCACAAAAGGAAATAAAACGGAACTTAGCCTTCAGACTAGACAGCAATGATTAGACTTTTTTTGATTTGCTGTTGTCCGTAATAGGAGTGAGCTGGCAGGCTTTTGGATGTAGGCTTATAAAAATATGATAGTACCCCTGTTATCGGTATGTACATCTTGACATTGATTTTTAAAATAATGTAGCTTTGTGAATATGCTTAGTTTTCACTGAAGGATACAGATTGGTGAAACAAAGGTAGTTGTCAGATAGCTGCTTTGAAAACAGTGAAAGAAAACACATAACGTGCAGGATGGACATGAAAAAGGGTGAAACACTTCATCGTCATAGGACAAGACTAAAGGAGCATAAAGACAAGCTGATTTGGCAGAAAGCTAGCGTGTCGGCATTCAGAAAGTTGCGATGAAACGATGGAGAAGTTCAAATGTTCAGAAGTGAAGGTGAAAATGAGGCATATGAACAGAATTAGAGGAATACAGATGGACAGTTAATCTGTAGACCCCTGATGCTGTGACTTCTGTTTCTTTCATTCCTTACAAACATCATTCCAAGATCTGTATGTCTTGCATTGACTTAGTGGTTTTAGATAAGACTCTGGCTGGTACTATAGAGATCTGGCACTTTTTAAATAATTGCCCTGTTTTCACCTTAAAAGTGATTTTGTTTCTTTGCTAGGTGACACTTCTCTATGTAAGAAATACGTGTAAGACTTGATTTTACTTTTTATTTTACTCATTTACTACTGATAAATGTAACCGTAGAGCCATACTCTCCTGGCTGCCCAATAGATGCATAAACACCTATACAAGAGTACACGAGTGGGTTGTACTGAGGTGGAAATGAAAAGTGGGGTGGTTTCTTAGCAGAAGCCTCCCCAGTTTATACCATCTTCAAGAGTTTGCTGAACTACAGTTTTGAAGTGTAAGTTCGTCAGCAGCTTTATTCCATGTCTGAAGCTATGTAGGATGAGTTGTGTAGAGTTGAGGTGACATCTAACTGGAACAAGCTGATATCACATGTGAACTAGGATGTGAATATGTGCAGGCAAATTTTGGGGCAGGAGGAGTAACAGTACACTTATGATTACCTTACATAATCAGTCTTTTTGTAAGTCTGTCTTGAAATATTATTCTAGTAAATTTTCCAGAGACTGGAGTTAAGGGCTATGAAACCCATATTTTTTATAAGTTGATCTCTACATCTTATTTCAAAGATAGTGTATTATTTCTATTACTTTCATTTCTCCTGTTGTTGCTTACTGTACTGGTTTTTGTTCATGGTTAAGTTTCATTATTTCCCAGAGATTTTTGCATTGATAGATTGTAGTCCGTGTGACACACAGCTCTTGTTCTTAATGCTGTCTCTTACTTCTAAAATGTTTATTTCAGTCCCAGCCTAAAAACAGTTAAGGTAAACATTATGGTCAGCATGCTCTGTGAAGAGAGAACCAACATGTTAAGTTAGCATCTTCCTCAAATGTATATTGTTTACTTATACTCCTTCAACAACCTGATTAAAAACAGGAGTATCAAGTCTTTTGGAGGCTTCCTGCTTCAAACAGGCATAAAGAAAAATCTGGAAATGCCACCTGTTATTGTAACTGTTTTGTTTCTAGCTCTCAATCTTAGCTGTTTTTAATGAGTTGTTTAAGCAGGAAACAAGATTATTCTGAGTGGGTCATTAGTCTGTGTGAATTTTACATCCACTACTTGGTTTCATTCGTGATTGCTTAGCAATTTTTTTTTCATAAGTATTAAGCAGGCAGGTTCATCGTAGTAGAATGATAGAACAGTGTTTCTTTCATGGTGTTCATAATTAACCAGAAGGATATGACAGGAGACAAATTTGATGTGGTCATTTGCACCTGTTTTTCTATGAAGGTTTAATTCTTACAGTATATATGCATGAAGTTTCTATTTCAGGATGTATTGCAGAAGGCAGTGAAGGCCTTCAAAAATGTTTTATTGAGAATCAGTATAATTATAAATAAATAAGATAGTATGTTCTTTTCCAGCCTGCTAACTTGGCTGGGGCAGTCAGCAGCATTCCAGTGGCGTGGGTGTGGCTTCTGCTGTTTTGTTTCTTAGAACTGTATTAGGAAACATTATACCAAGATTTTGAAATAAAATGCAGCAGATTTAGTAGTATCTGAAGACCACAATCAGATGAGGCCTAATTATGCAAGTAGTTGTATGATGTGCCTCTCACAGATGTATTCAGGTTTAGTATCTGAAATGGAAGTAAAACTCTAAAAGGTGTCAGTCAGCACACTACTTTGCATTCAGGATGTAACAAAGTAGATGTTTTCCTTTGAAGCTCAGCTGTCTGCAAGTACTGCTAATTGTATTCAGCTTAATTTAAAAGCTGCTATTTTGTTTCACAGGTAGGCTGGAGAGGTCTGCTCTTGCATTGCTTGGTATTTAAAAAGTAAATTGGAAATGCTCTTGAATCTCCACTGCCTGTCAGATCAGTTATTAGTTTAACATTCTGTTCAGCAGCTGAACAGAATGATGGAGAAATGAAGTGGGAAACAAGAGTCTAGATTCAACTGATCATATTCTCAGTACTTAAGCTGTTTTTTATTACTATGCTTAGGTGTTTCTTTAAGGAAGAATAGTTTTTTTCTCTTCAAAATGATAGTAAATTTGAATCTGAGACCAATGATTGAAGTATAACACAGAATGTATTATACAGTGAATGAACCAACATAGCTGATAGTTTTATTTTTCCTAAAGCCTTGCTGTGTTGAGTAAAATATTTTAAACTGTTTTGGGTTTCACTTCTGCCATGAAATTTGTTTCGACCATGCCAGATATTATTCGTAAATAGGTTTGTGTCAGACTTAAGTTTACGTACTGACATTCCCCGTTATTGAGGAAAGACATCATCTTTCTGTCCTCTGAAACATCAGTGTCTGCCGTTGAGCCAATGTAGATGTAAAACACTTTAATTTCATTTCCTCCTATGGGCTGTCGAGACCAACAGCAAGAGGCAGGTATTTCTTCTTCCCAGCTTCCCTTCAGTAACAGCTGGCTGTCATAGAAGAGGTGAATGCTTTTTAAGAGAGTGGTATTTATTGCCTATGCAGAAGGTAGTTGCTGTATTACAGGTGGCTATTGCAGTAGGATGCAGTTTGTAACAAAGACTTTTCTCTGGGTGAAATTAGGCTTGACACCTTTACAGGGTTCAGGTAACAGTATCTGTTCGCTTAGGTCTACGTATCGATCACAAGTGTGTTTGCGTAATGGGCAGTATTGAAATGAGTAGTGGGGTGTGGAAGGAGGCGGCTGGACCAAAGCACCTCCTGGTCTGCTGTTCCGACGCTGAGAGGTCTGGCAGGAGCTTGTTCATAAACAGCTGCTGTAGGTTTAAGATGTTGCTTCATCCTTGGCTGCTTGCTGTAAGTCTCTGATTGAAGGTCATCTCCCTCTTGCCACTGTTCAGCCCAGTGAGTTCAGTCAAACGTCTTAATGCAAATACTGCTCTTGTTAACTGAAACCAAAATACTGGCATGTGAACCGGAGCGGCTGAGGTGGGTGTGTGTGTTTCCTCTTCGGCGAGACTGCTGCACCAGTGGCGTCCGTCCAACAAGTGTGTGAAGACAGCTGGTGGTAATGACTTCCCAAGTGGCAGCAGCTAGGTTTCTAGACCCCTTCTGTCCAAGCCTTAAGTGGGTGTTGATGTACTGGGTTAGTTGTATTGAAGAGAACTGCAAGCAGCTAAGTCTTGTTTATTTTGGCCATTTTTCCTCTGCTGAAGTAAGGGATGTAGTTTGTAACACTTGAGATACACTTTAAAGTGTATCTAGACTAAAAAAACCCACACTTTGAGTCATTCACTATTTTCATTTAATGTTCTTTGAAATATAGTGGTTCTCCATTATCATCTGATACACGTTAAAATTACGCATCTTGTATCTATGTGACAATTTGAAAATGCAAATCTAAGAACTGCTTAGGAACTGTTGACTCACCAGTATTTTGAGGTGGCATTCACAGTGAGTTGTAACTTTTCTACCACTTTGGAATGGAAGAACGCCCTTGTTGGGCTTGAACTCACTGTAAGGTATGTCACACCCGAGCTCTCACCAAATACAACATACAGAATACACGAAATATACTGTGGAGAATATTACAGGGCCAGGCTTAGGACAACTTCATCTTTTATACTGATGCAGAAGCACTTCATTTGCTGAAGTGCCTCAGGTCCTGTGCTTTGGGGCTGTCGGCAGGCAAAGTGCTTAGTTTGAGCTTTTGGAAAGTCATTTAAAATTGAGGTGTAAGTGAAGGTGTTAAAAAGGGTCACATAAGTGACATTTTTCAACTTTGTGTGCATCAGGAAATGACATCTAGCCATTTTCCTGATATTTAGAGTTCAGGTGTGAAAGAGCACTAATTTTAGATTGGTCTCTTACTCTATCGGTTTTGACAAGCATGCAGTATTGAGAGCAAATAGGATTAATGGTGTACATCTCTCTCCCAATTGAAGTTTAAATAAGGTCTGAATAAGACTGTCAGTAAAGGAGGAAAACAGGAAAAGGAATACATGAAATCCAACTTTTTTAGTTGTTTGTTACTGTGTTTTGCTTGTATTGCAGAGAATGGATCTGTTGGAATTAACATGTATTATTTCTTTGGTAATGTGTAAGTGGTAAAATAGAAGGATGCTATTTCAATCGAATTTGACAAAACCATCTTGCCATTTATTGGTAGCTCACGGGTTATATGCGTACATGTTTTTCCTTTTAAAATTATCTGACTTTTCATTTGCCAATGCATGTCTTGTTTCAGAAAATAAAAATGTTTAGCCAGTATGCATTTATGTTTGTGGTATTTGTGCTTTATCATTAACTGGAAAAAAAACCCACTTAAATTCCCCTCCCCCTCTTTTTGTAGGTGGTTTCAAACACCGTCACAAGTTTTCTATCATGCAGCAACTGAACATGGAGGAAAGGATGTCTACCCAGGGCAGTGCTTATGGGAGGGATGTGAACCTTTCCAGCGGCAGAGGTTTTCCTTCATTACTCATCTACAGGTGCAGATTTTCTTTCACATGTTACTTAAGAAAATAGTAGGAATTTCATGGTAAATTTTCATACACCTTTCTCACTGTCTTTATCTTTTCCCCAAACAGGATAAGCACTGTTCCAGAGATGCTTTGCTTGCAGGATTAAAGCAAGATGAACACGGACAAGCAGGAAATCAGAAGCCTTCCAATAAGTAAGAGACCTGAGCCTCATTAGCAGTAGTAAAAATAAGAGAATTAGAATTTATTGGAAGAATTTGTGTATTTATAACTTATCAGGTGAAACTCTGCATATGTAGGTAGAGTCTATAGTAGTAATGAAATTTGAGGTCCATTACAGTAAGACAAAATGGGCAAAAGAGGGAATAGATTCTGCTGTGGTATACGTGGTTGCAGTTATCGTAAAAAGAACAGGGAATTCTTTAAGGTATATGGGTCAGTACTCTGTGCTGAACGTTGTTCTCAACACATTCTCCTGATTTTTCCTAACTGGACAGAATTTTATAACTTTTATAGTAGCAGTAAAGTGCTTGTAATCCAAATGGAAAGTTATTTGTTGTGTACAGTTCAGCCGTTTCATACCGCTGAGATGAATAGTCTTGTAACTTGCTACATTCCTTCCAGTTCTGTGGTCTGAACTTGGGCTGATTCGATCCAGGGACTCCTGTAATAAGCTTTCCTTTAAACAAGCAAACAAGATAAATAAATACTGACTCCTCTGAGTCTTCTAATTTTGTGCTGCTACCTGGAATCAGCTTTGGCTCTCCTTTTTCCCAAAATGATTTCAACCATCTGGAATTAATATTGGAGAGCACAACCCCATTGCTGTGGGGTTGTGGGGATGGTTGTATTAATACTGGAGTTGTTCAGGGTTCAGTTACTTGTGTAAGTGTTTTAAGACTAGGTCTTTGTTAGTAACTAACTGCAATCTCCTTGTTGCAAGCTAAAGATGTAATTACATGGTCGCAGGCAGATTTCTGCAGTCTGTTCTGTGGCTAGTTAAATTGCTACCAAGCTGCTTAAGGCAGTAGAGAAAGTTGAGTATGATGAAAGCTGGGAAATTTAGTTTGTGAGTCCTTTTATTTTTTAATATAAACAAACTTCTTAACACAGACTTATGATTGCTTTATGGTGCCTTGTTTCATTACACTGAACAACATTCGGACCTCTGAAAACCACAAAATGAAGAATGATGGCAGTGTAGTCTTAAGTACTTGGTAAATGGGAAGCATAGGGATGATACCATCTACTAGCACGATGTGATCTCAACTCTGCCTTTTCAGAAATGTTCCATCACACAGGTTACACATCCAGTAGCTCTGTGTCCTTATGGGCTTCTCTGAATTTGGGACAGGTACTCATATTAGATCATACATCCCCTCTTCTAAGGCAGAATTCCCTAATTAGGTCAGATAAGGAATTTATATACATAACCAGTTCTCACTGAAATATTGAGACTGCAATATCACAAGATACTAAGGATATGACCTCAGAATACAAGTTGAAATAAGAGCATTCCACTACTCAAAGTAGGATATTTTGACTCTTGCTGCCATCCCTTGTTCCTTCTCGTGGCTATGCACTGCTTACAGTGGGAGAACTAGCTTGAGTTTTTGTCTCATTGTATGGTAAATAAATTCTGTGTTTTTTTTAAAAAACCCTAACCAGTCAGAAAAGTGAGTTTGCCAGATGAGTGGAATACATTTGCCGTACAGTCAGGTGAACACCAGTACAGGAGGTGGTCTGGAACAAAAGGAGAGGATGAGACCTTTCTCTATCAGCACTCACAACAGTTAATACACACAGCTGTTTTATGAAATCACAGAGGTTCCCTGTCCATTACTTTTACTCTCTTCCCACATGTGTCCATTACTCCTCTTTTACCAAAGAAGAAATCAACGAATAGGGATATTATGTGTAACGTGTAACCCACATAATCTTACAGTGCTGCCACAGAGTTATGTTCACACAACTAGAAAGAGCTACATGAGGGAGACAGGACTTGATAATTTGCTTTCCAGAATCAGTGACTTGTCAAATCAAACTGTAAGCTCGCTCCAACAGGTCACCTCAAGCTGGCTTTAAGTGGTCGTGTCTTAAAGCTGACTTACAAGTTTTTGGTTTAATTTACTTGTTGTTGAGTCCTGGAAACTTGTCAGATGTATCAGCAGATCGCTCATTGTTTATATGACTAAACTCTTGTATGGAGCTGAAAGAACAGCTGAACTGGTGCTGAGGTGAAGCATGTGTAAAGCCATCAACTTTTAGGCATTAATTAGGCCAACTTTCTTCACTTAGTGCCTCACCATTCAGTCAAACTACACCTACCTTGGAGAGTGCAGATAGAGGGAGTGTTGTTGGTGCTGGAAGTAAAATCTGTGTAACACACAGGGGTTCATTCCCCTAATCATAATTTCTGTCTGTCGTAACATCATACATGCTTGAAAAAATATGTAATGGCTTTTGCTAGAACCAGGTAGGCAGAGTTAAGCTGCGTTACAGAGTTGGTTGTATACCTTAATTCTGTATTTCTTTGCTTTTTAAGTTGTATGATATTAACTCTTCCTCTTCTGGTTTTCAGAGGTAGCTGAATATTACATTCTTGGAAGGTCAGGTAGCACTAGCAATTAACTGTATGTCAACTGTAGCTTTGTGCATTTGAGTCTTTTTGGATTCACATTAAATTTTTCCTTGTTGCCACTGAAGCAAAGGTGGTAGTGTGAGCTATCAAAAATATTCTTCATGTACCGTGGGAGTGGAGCAGGGTATAACTTTGAATCACAGATGAATGTTATGGTTTGAAGTTAAGTGGATAATAAAAAAAATTTACGGAATCTAGATGTTTCTTGAGAGAGCTACTTGCCCACAGACACAAGTCAGTCCACTTGATGTCTCAGTAAATTTTATCCACTTCTTTTTTTTCCAATATCAAACAGAAAACAATCTTTTGATATCTTCCGAATTTACTGCAATTGTCCCTTTTTCAACACTTCTAGAAACAAAGCAATAGTACTTCAACTTTCTGAAATATAGTACGATAGCTGTTGAAGAGAGAGGTTTGGAACAGCGTCCATTGATGAATCCTTGCTCTTCTCAATATATGGAAAAGAAAAATGTTCCAGAAATTAAAAATGAAGATGATAATTCCCTTACTGTGGTACTCAGTCTCCTATAAACATATGTCATTGACCAACAGTGTCTTAATTCAGTTCTGGCCCTTCTCCCTTCGCTTCATAAAGGTTTTCAAACCCTTACTTCCATTCAGGGGAGGATGAGCTGAGTTTTTAGGGAGGAGTCTGTCTGTTACTACTTCTTAATTTTCTGTTTTGTGGTTTGAAACCACTCGTATGAACCCTTTTTCTAGTTTTAAAATAGATTCCCTTGTTGTTAGAATTTCAGATTATGAAAGAAGTTTGTCTGAATAGAGAATTCAAGTTTTATTCTTAGAATATTCAGTTACAGTGAAAGATGCCTAAATCATACTCCTGCAGGCTAGCTTTTAAAAAATGGAACATTTACATTTGCTTCATGCTACCTTTGCAAGTAAGCACTACTGTATATTTCTAGTATGTTCATGTTCTAATCAGGTTCTACTACGGTATGAAGAGACTTCAAAACAATATTGTTCAATGTATTGAAGCGTGTTGATACTTTTCACCATTGATACTGCAAAACTTCCCTTCGAGATGACATTGAGTCTTACTTATTAAGTTGCATATTTATACATTCTAAACTCTAATTGTATGAGTAATTTAATGAAACAGAGCTTTGGCTTCAGTGTTAATACTGAAAATGGAGAATTTGCTTCTGCTATGTTTGTTACTTGTACCAGCTTTATAAAATACCTTGCTTAATTTATTAATCTCGGTCTGAAAGCTGTAGTAACAGGTACTTGGTTTTACAAATGTTTGATCTGATTTAAGAATTAGATGTTTTATGTCTTAGAGCATATATCATATTACTTTATATTACTCCTCACTAACCACAGTTAATGTGTATTTTATATTGTCTTAGTGTCTAATGGTCCTGGTGAGCTGTGTCAAGCTGTGTCAAGCTGTGTCAATAGCTGTATTTTAAGGACATTCTCTGGCCAAATCTCAGATAATATTTGCATAGCTGCTATCACAGTTCCTGTTAAACCTTGTCTGATAAAACATTCCTTTAAATAGGTACACTTCAGGAAGTTGCTATGTCATTAGTACAATATATTACTTTTCCATCACAAATGTCGTGGGTGATGAGCAGTACTTCTTCAAGAGAAGTGATTTTTCATATAAAAAAAAAGCCCATGACACTTCTGAAGGCTTTGCAATGAGGTTTATATTTGTGGAAATAAAAGGCAAATCACATATCCACGCCAAGTATTAATGGATCTTTGTGTCTCTGTGAAGAAAGGTTAAAAAATTGTAAAAATAAATGTTCAGAGTTGTTGATCTTCTAGAAAGTGGTGCAAAGCTTACTTTTATTATTCTTTCTTTATTAATGCAGGCAGCCAGCTGCAGGGGGTACTGCCTCTACCCCCAGAGCACAGAAGGCCATTGTGAATCATCCAAGTGCTGCCCTAATGGCATTAAGGAGGGGATCAAGAAACCTCGTCTTCAGAGATTTCACAGTTAGTATTGTTTGGCTCAAGTATTAGATATTAATTGTTGCGTGCTACTACAAGGCTTTTACATCTTTTTTTCCTCTTTACTTTTGTAGGATGAAAAAGAGGGACCAATAACTAAACACATCCGATTAACAGCTGCCTTAATATTAAAAAATATCGGTAAATATTCAGAATGTGGTCGCAGGTAAGCATTGTATGATTCTTCTAATACCAGCAGGCAATGTTGTTTCTGTTAAGTACCAAACAATAGGTGGGTTTTACCTGTCCTTTAAAAAAGCCAATAAGTATATTAACAGTATAATTCCTCTATCAGTTCTGCACTGTTTAGTTCCCCACACAAGTGCTCAGCATCATCTCACGTAAGACAGCATTTGTGATCCAGACTTTGAAATATGTCTGGTAAATTTGACAGGTTAAATTTTTGGGGACAG